GAAAATAGCAAAATATTATAATGAAAGAGTGTATGTAAGAGTGTAAGTAACATTTTGTGTCGCGCTGTTATTCGACGAAGAGATGTGAAGTTAGCTTTGTATTGGAGCAACAATATCAGTGATAGTGCATCCGTCCATCGAAACTGTAGCACTACATACCTCTGCCGAATTGCAATCCGATACTCTAAAAGCGAGTGATACCCTTTCGCTACCACAGTGCCCTTTTGCTACCGTAGCTTCTTCAGTAAATGAACATATCGCTTCGGCCTTTTCGCGAAAATAGTCTGTCCTTATAGTTTAAAAAATTTATTTTAATTATAAGAGAGTTATTTAAAAATGTATGTACTCTACCCTTATTTTCTTTCTTCCATTTTATTTTGTTTCGTCACGTTTTATTCGACGTATTAATGCGTTAATGCGAGGCTGTAATCATCTGATTTCTCGCGCATATCAAAGTATTGGTTTGGTAATCTTCGAATCTCTATCTGTTTAACGGTGCAATTATCGTATTTGAGTGCACTGTGCATCGCGCGGATCTTGCGTGTGTATGCATACGTGTGGATGGGCTTTAATCGACCGATTTCGCGAGCGCACGGGCAACGTTGGTCGGCATCGGTCAAAGTTAGAAGCCGGTTAACCCACCTGACCGGGGGGCATTACCGTTGCACAGGTGCGGTTGGTGTCTTTGACTCGGCCCCGAAACCGTAATCCGCCGGCACAACCCCCCCAACCATGCAAACACCAACCCCTTCCGTTAAGATTAGCGATCGTAGGAGCGAATGCGTATGCTTTCTATCTCTCCCTCCCCTCTTCTCTTCCCCCCCTCTCTCTTTCTCTCTCTGTATGAATCGCGCATCGCGTGTACCACGAGCAGAACGGCACGTGTCGGTATACACACACGACACGAACGCGAGGGGACAGGGCACGCGCTCGAAGCAACACCCTGTATGCGACGTGAATATTAGATTTCACACTTCGTGAAGATGTCGCGCCGTAATGGCACGTAATAGCGCGTACACGAGAAAGAGATAAAGCTTCATGGATCTGGTTCACCAATGTTCTCCAATGTTCACCAAAATGCATTACCTCGAGATTACGGTCGAAATAGATATTCTCAACAAAAATATATGATTATGAAGGGGGGAAGGGATTTTTGTACCAAAGATAACTCTGATAAAATATAGCTGTTTCTAAAGATATTTTACCGATTTTTTTATAATTTGAAATTAAATCTTTAATTTATAATAATTTTAATTGAAAGAAAGAAACATAGACGAGTTGCTTGAAGCTATTGTAGCTCAGATCTGTAATTTTTTGTAAATCTGTCGAACAAATCTAAAGGTAAATGTGAACAAATCTAAAGATAAAGGTTTATTTAAAGTAAATCATGGTTAATCCACAAACTGTAATTTTATATTAGATTTATGTCTAGTGAAACAAAATTTGAGAATTATATTTACCAAAAAAAGGACGCAATTTTTATACCAATTAACTCTAGGCTTGTCTAGGCTTTAATTATTTGTTTTCCCACTCATCTCTAATCGCGGTTTAATTTTTGAAGAATATCAAAGGTTCACTTTAACATTTATTACTTGTCTGTAGATTTCATAGATAGACGCGGTTAAGTCAAGTTTTTCGAGTGAGCTGAAATCCTATTATCCTCGCGTTCGACGATCAACATGAGGCGTTGCTGGAATAAGGCGCGGTATCGAAGATACGCGAAGTTCAGCTAATTTTAGTTTAAAGCTACCATAAGCTCGACGACTGCACGTAGAGCCCTGTGTAATCTCGCTGTTAATCGGTTGCGTGTATTAAATCCAAACGCCGACTGGATTAAAGTTTTAACACGTACGGAGGACTGCCATGACTTGGTGCAATTCACCGACGAAATAATGTCCAGCAAGTACGAAATAGTAAAGGCTGAAGGCTGCTACGTCAATCTTACAAGTGCGCAATATATTGGCTTGTATGAATACGAAATATTTCTCCTTTTTTATGCAAAACGAGATCAAGGAAAAGAGATAAAAGAAATGGTACCATTACAAGTAATAATTCTGCTAAAATGAAGAAAAATTTTAAAATAACAATATGGACTGTTTATTTAAAAAATAAAATATATAATGTATCCATTCTGTTCCTCTGTTTTTCACCAATTAAAGATTTTCATAATATAATATATATATAATATATAATTAAATTTGTGAAGATTTTAGTTATAATAAATAATATTTTATCTTCATGAAAAATAATATACGAACTTATATTAAATGAACATTTTTGTTCAGATTTGTAAACACTATAGTCTTTTATCCTTTTTAAATCTTTATATAAATTATTATAACGTTTATGTCTTTAAATTTTGTTTTGTGGCGTTATCTTTCGAATAAAATAAACAATAAATTAAAATCGATATAAACGCTGTCGGCATCTCTTCCTTTACCTCCTGGTAATCTGAGAGAGTGGAAAAACCAGTATACTAGCTGCCGATATTACCACTGCTGACATCTTATAATTTAAATATATATTATAAACAAAAATTTTTCATATATAATAATCATAATCATTGCTGACATGCATAAATTTCCATTTCAATTTAATCATAATATAAATTCACGATTTATGTAGTGTTTTCATCTTTACCGGCAAATGCTATGTATGCGATGTAATGAAAAGAATATTACAATATGTATAAGAAAATAATCGATTAATTTGTTTATTAATATTAATATTTAATGTTGTTATTTTTTTATTTTATAAAAGTTATCATGTTTTATTGGCATATTCTACAATAATTCTTTTTGCTGTCACTATAAAACATTTCAAAACTTGTATTTTTATAATTAACTATCAACAAAATAATACAAAGTAGTATTTGTAAAAAATACAATAAGAAATTGCATAATTAATTTCAATAAAATTAATTTCTTTATTTTTTTAAGTTAAATTATACTTAATATTCTTACATATTTGCCTATAATTGCTATACAAGTACGTAATAATAGCAATCCTATGAAGCAAATAACAAAGAGAAAGAAAGAGAAAGAAAAGAGAAACATGTAAATTTTACATGATTTCTTCTACGACTTTATTAACGAGTTGTTCACTCTTGCAATTATATTACGATGTAAGTTACGATGTACTTAAAAAGTTAAAAAAATTACTTTGTAGCGAATATATATGATACAATAGTTTATCGATAAATAAGTACTTTTTTATAATATACTTATCTACTTTATAATATACTTATCTATAAATAATTTAAATAATTATTTTAATAAGATGAACAATAAAATTTATAAAAATTCAAAATATACTTTAATTTTTGTTATAACTTATAATTATATTTAACAAAAACATTTATACAGCTTATATAAATTTTTTAGATATAATGGGCACACAATGGCAGTCTAATATATTTTAAAAATATCAAACAAAATGTTATATTTTCAAATGCCATTTTCTTCTCTTTATTTGACATCAAACATTTCCGACAATCTCTTCAGAATGATATCTGGAATTCGCTTTTCTGCTAGATTCGTCGTCCCAGGAAGTCGTGGAGGTACCTGAGATCTCTCGGCTAGATTATTTCTCGCTGGCAAATTACTATATCCCGTAGCGAATAAACGAGATACCGGAAGCGCCTTCTCGTTCAGATTCTCCGTACCGGGAAGATTCCCGTCGACCACTTCCGCATTATTATCCAGATGAGGATCATGATTCACGTGGAGCGCATGAGGAGCCGCCAATACCCCGTAAACGCCAAGGAATAATACTAGAAACTGCATCAAAAGCACACACTTTAACACAATTGCATCGAATTATACGAAATTTTCATTTATACATAGGAGATAATTGCATGGAGAAAGAGAGAGATTATGCTTTCCATTATCAAGCAAAATGATAGATGGATATTCTAAAAGTACTAGTCTTGAATTACAGATTTGTTAAATATAGAACCTGATATTTTATATATATAAAATTTTAAAATTCAATACCTTAGTTATAATTAATCAGGCGCAAAATGCTTTTATTAATTTAAACGCTTAAAGTAGAATGAATTAGCAATATTATATTATTCATTGAAACTAAAGTAGACTTTAATTTATAACAATCCGAATTTTAATTAATTATCGATATTTCTTAAAAATTTGTAATGAAATTCTTATACGTTTTCATTTAATCTTGATATTTATGGATGACATTAATATACATATACAAATATGTTTAAATTAGAAGATTGTTTCAGATTGCTATCACTTAATTAACACAGTATAAAAGAAGCGTGAAATTCCATCACAAAAAGATTACGCATGCAAGATTTATTTTGTTAACGTGGCGTATATTATACGGGATTTGCGCGAAATTAATTCGAAGTCGTCAGAGGATTTACGCCGAGATAAATGCCTGACTTGGCGACGCAGCCGTGAATTTATGACTTTTTATTGCGTCGCACAAATGCATGGAACTGCGCGATTTCACGCGCAGTACGGCGGAAATCACCTGGAGATTGAATTCGTTGGGGAATCCCGTGAAAATTTAAAGCAGGCGACGACGATTTGACACGGCACTCGTGGGTAGGTAGATAGAAATACGTGTGAAATCTCCTACATCCTCGCTATTCCATATAGACACTTCACTTGACCCAAATCACGAGCAGGTTAAAAGATAACCCACTTTCCCGCGATTGACTAGAAATTCTTCGAACAGGACAAAGTTATTTTTGTATTGAATAAAAAAAATTTTTCCTCGTTACGGATTGCGAGAACAAACTGTTAAAATAAAATGTTCACATCATACATTCACAGTAAAATCAAATGCTAATTTTAAGTCGAGGAATTATTTCACATAAATTTTAACTACAATTACATTTATGATTTAGTATATTCTTTTACTCAAAAATATTAATACATACATTTTTATAACATTCTATATTTATATTTATAACAACTTATAAAATTGTAGACACAATTTGTTTCAAAATTTTATTTCTGTTATAAATTGTTTAAAATAGATATTATATATCAAAATCTAAAAATCTAAATTTTAAAAATTTTTAATTTAATTTATATATTTGTACACTTTATTTAATTTATATTCTATCATCAAGGTTATTTATAATAAAGATATCGTCCGAAACGTAATTAGTTTTTACATACAAATAATCTTTTCTAAATTTATTTCAATTGATTCCAATTAAGCACCTTTATATATATATGAACTGAGCATGATTCTTCCAAGAATATTCCGATGTTATTAATTATTAATGATCTATTCATATAAGTTAGTCTTTTGCAAATAACTTTGTTTTACCTTCAATAACAGATTTCATAATTAAATTTATCGATAGCTAAAATTGGGACAGCGAACCCTTGCCCATATAATTGTGTTAATTATTAGCGTAATTTTAGCCACAAAATCCAATTACAAGTCTTATTACTATAATAGTAAAGCTAAGAATAGAGTAAAGTAAAAATAGTTAAGAATAGTTAATTTAATTATCTTTCCAAAAATATTTTGCTTCATAATAAAAAAGCTGAATAACAGCGCAAATTACTATAAATTTATATAATGCTTATATATATTTACATTCAAACTTTAGTTAATTGTCTTTTTATTATAATTTACTCCCTTCTATCTCCTCTAAATTTTATTTATTAAAAGCAATTTAGCACTAAAGGTCGACAACATTTTAATCAAAGGATGAATCGCGTTTAATTAATGCGAACCTTTTCACACTCGTCACACTTTTTACATTTCGAAGTTTGCATGACTTCTGTCACATGAATCCTTTAATTTCATCAAATTCGAGGAAATTTCGATTCGAGGAAAGTTACACAATCGGAATTTCTGTGAATTCGCTGGGGGAATTTTCACGCAAAAGAAAAAGTAATATAATCAACCGGCCAACGCTTGAAATCGGTGGAATCACTCGCGGAAAACACGTGTGCTTTTACTTTTATATTTCTTGTCATGGAATTTCCAATTTCCTCTTACCTCGATCATGTTCGCTCGATGCACAGCGCCCAACTATTCTCGAGAATGGCACGATGACACTTTTATAGAGGTACGCGTGTGGACACCGGTCTTACCGCGTGGTGAAGCGATGTTTTATTTTCATGAGTCAAACGATCGCGATCGCCTGGAGACAGGATTTCTTTTGGATTTATTTTTTTTCTTCTCTTTCTGTTAAAGTTATTACTCTCAACAGCCGTGCTCTCAACTTGTGCGTATATCCGCAATGGCGTAGACATCAGCTCTTTCAGATAAGAATTTTTTATCAATGTCGAAGAAGATGATTATATTAAGATTAGAAAATTATTGGAAAATTGAAAAAAGTGTTTCCGTTTATGTGACATTAAATAAAATGTGTACATTTTCTAGAGAGATATGAAAATTATGACAGGTTTTTCTATTCGGGTATGCGTTAGCATTTCGACAGATCTTGTCTGTTATTCAGATAGATTCACAATCAAATATCTAAAAACTGCTTTCTTCTTTTGTATATAATTAAATATAACAGAAATAAATTGACAGAAGTAAATTTTATATTTAATCTTTATATTTAATTTTTATATTTAATTTTTATATTTTAAATAATGCGATTTCTATTATTACTTGTAAAACCGTATATAATCTCTCACATAAATTGTTTATAAGATCAATCTGCAATTTCATGTGTTCACACGAATAAAAATAAGCCAAAGCGCAATAACGACATTGAAGAATTTTCGAATAGAAACCAACATTGTTAACGTCTCGACAAAACGATATACCATCTGACTTAGAAAATGTCGACGGCGATAAATTATGTGCAAAATCTACGAAATTATGATATTATTACATTAGCAATGATAATAATATTGTACTTCAAATATATAACCTTTTATGTAATTAATATATAATTACTACTTAATTTTTTAATGTATATGATTAATTTGATATATTAACAAGATTAAAAATCAATTTGATTTTCCTGGAAGTGAATTATAATCCATCTTGATAAATTAAAATTTCGACACTGTAAACATATAAAAAATGTTCTAAGCGAAGTATTCCTTTCGTCTTTCATAAATTTATTTCTTAAAATTATCCTCAAAATTTTATTTCCCCAATTATCTAATAATAATAATAATAAAATAAAGTTAAACGGATGTATTGATAATTATTATTCTGCAGAAAAATATAAAATTTCTGAAAAAAAAATATTTTCTTTTTTTTTTCGTGTGTGGAACAAAATAAAAATTTAACCGTTAACATCATTCAAAGTTGAAATTTATTAATTGCTATCGTCAATAACCATTTTTAAACAATGTTAAATCATGCTTTTCGTAAACCACGATGAAAAGGCAATTTCGCAAAATCGTAGAATTACATTGATTGATACCAATTGGCGCCAGCAGTTCTGCGTACATAAATATTATCTTAAAAGATGAGAATGCGTTTTGTATCCTAGAGCAACATTTATTTATTGAAAATTCCGCACGATGAGTTTTAGCAAATGATCGATGCACGACATGACTAGCAAAAATATTGTCTGGCGACCCAGAATTAACACATTGTTTTATTCATGTATCGTGATCGCGTTCGTTTCAAATTTCTATAATATCAGACATCCTATAAATGCGTAATAAATGTTAGACATCTTTTAAAAGTACCATACTTTATAAAATCTATTTTTACTGAGACACAATTTCTCTTAATTTTTGATTCTACAAGCTAAATGATTTATACCATTTATGGATTTCAACTGTCTACTTACTTGTATTTTGCAAAAATAGGATAACTAAATATTGTTTATAAACTCAAGTTTTTCTAGCAGTGTCTGTATCTTATAACGAACCAGGAATAATCAAAGAAAAAAGAAAAGCGTTCCAGCGGAGCGTAATGACCGATTTTATCCGTCCTCAAAAATAAACATCGCTACGTGGAAAAAATTATATCCGCTCTATAAAAGGTGTCAGCTTCCTCTATACTTCATTTTGCTCGATACTTAAAACGGATAAAGCTGCCTTGCAGTGAATGACGTTACGGCCGACACGACGGGGAAGTACACGGTGACATCACTTGTAACCAAGTGATCTCATCGAGGGTCGTGTGACGTCACGAAACCCTATTCCACTCGATCGATCAGATGTTACGAGTTAGGTGTATAGAGAAAATGTCTGTGCGCCGATACCGTGACGTCATTGAATTCTATTCCGTCTTGCCGAGAGGGCACGTTCGATAATCCGGTTTTTCTGACGTTCTCCAGCCTACACGTGCCTATCTCGATAATGTCACGTTATAACGGCAACGTGAAGAAATTACACTATAGAAAAGTTATGACATTTAAAAAATGGGATCGCGACGCAAATGAAAGATTTAATACGCAATTTAATATTTAATTTACTCGTTTTCCACATTTTTATATCTCATATCAGATGAGTTATTGAATTCAACAGATATCTTTTAGAACACATTTTTTCTCATAAGAAATTAATGTATATATTTCTGGAGTTATTCATAGAAAACAGTTTTCAGTAATATTAATACATTAAATAATTATATATATTATATGTAAAATTAGATAAGTTTTTAAAAAATATGTATACGTATTGAAATTATAACGACTACTTTTGTACTCTTGAATACTTTGTGTATTTATCATGTGTATGTGCGTGCGTACGTGCGTGCGTGCGTGTGCGTGTGCGTGATGTGCGTGTGTGTGTGTGTGTGTGTGTGTGGTGTGTGTGTGTGTGTGCGCGCGCGTGTGTGTGTGTGTTGTTTTGTACACTAACATAATAACTGCTAGCACGAGTTAAGAAAGAATGTCTTTATCAAAGATTTGCGAAGGTTAAGGTCTATATAAATACGATTCGACAGTTCTAAAGTATCTTTTGTCGAGCGAATATTTAGTGTGTTGCTCCGCAATTCTTGTGGCAATTAATATTTCTTTGCGCTATTATTTAAACATTATATATATAAGTTATATTATTTTATTTATTTTCTTATATTCTAGTAGAAAATTGAAATAATTAAAAACATATTTGTGATAAATTACAAAGAAATCGACTTTGAAACAGAGAAAAGAGCAAAAAGAGAATCTGAGAATTTTTCAAATAAGTAAGCTATATTTATCTTTTACTTTATTTTTTATTATGTATGTGATATTATAAGGGAATAAAAAGTATAAATTTTTAATTTTTTATTTAAAACTTTATATTAATAAAAAAATGTAGAAAATTATCAACACATCAGATAATTGCTAAATATATTATTTATCTAAATACATTGTTTAAATATGTGTTGTGTTGCTTCACGGTTACATTATAACGTATGATAATATTGTTTGAAATATTTCTTAACAGATCAATATCGAACATGAGTTGTAACACGAAAAGTCGTACCAATAAAAACGTACAAAGAAGATCTGCATTGTCATTCGCCGGTGCAGATGGCTCGCTTGATGTTGACCATATTTTGGAATCTGAGCCATGGAAAAAACTCGAAATGTTTGAAAAAAGCGAAGCTGCTTGCATTCAAAATGTACTGAACGATTTCGACAATAAGATTATGCAAGAGAAGACTCTTAAACCAGGTAAAAGCTGTAATAAAACTTAATAAATTTTTATTTAAAAAATCCGTTTCCTTCATTACAAGTCTTTTTTTATTCATTTAAATTTTTCTTGATTTTTCTTAAAAAAAAAACAATTTTTATATTAACGTAAATATTAAAATATCTTGTATATTATCAAATATTAAAATTATAAATTAAAATTATAAAAATCTGTAACTAATCTGTAATAACAATAAATTTATAGTAATATGAGCAGAAAATATTAAAATACAATGTGTGGAAAACAATAAAATAAAATAAAATAAATCTCATAGTTATAATGTTATAATGTTTGCGTATGTATGTACAGGTCGCAGTAGGAGGAAAAGTCAAAATGCAAATGTGAATTCTATGGAGAAATCCGTGACAAAATCTCCAATAAAAGATTCGATTACGGATATACCAGAAATGTCATCAAATACAAATAGCAATACAAATGTAAATATAGATGAGACGAAAATTGTGGCGAATAAAAAGAAAAGAGCTTCAATAAAGCCTCAACAAACTTCCAATATGGAAAAGAAAACAATTTCGCAAAGGTCATCACATAATATTAATACTAATAATAATACTGATAATGCAAAAGAGAATACCCAAAAGATTTTAAAAGTCAGTGTCAAAGAAAATGTCGATTCAACTGAAAAGAAAATTATAAACACAAACATACAGGATATAACAAACATAACCGATAAAGATTTTCAAACAAGTACTCCCAAAAAAGAATTATCTAAAATAATAGGAAAAACGACAAAAAAGAGGGAATCAATAGCACAAAATAAAAAAGCAAAAGCAAAAGATTCTGAAAATAAATTAAATAATAATGTTCAGCGTAAAGAAAAAGAGAATATCTTGAAAGAGGACACGAAAAACAAACAAGGCGAGAGTAAGTGAAATATCAATTATATCTTTTAGTTTTATATATATTTGGAATACTTAATACTACTACTTTTGATAATTAAAATATAATGTTTTTCAGATAACGTAAATATATCTGGCCAAAAGAAAAAGATACATGTAAAATTAGAAAATAATTTGGAATGTAACGAAGTTAATCAAAATGCAACAGAAAGTAAAGTAGAGAATGAAACAATGCAACGTAAATATAAAGAAAATATTTCAAATACTTGATTTTTCTCATATACGATTTGTTTTAATAATAATTAAGTTTTTTTAGGTAATACTAATGAGATAGTTTTTAATGAAACTGAGAAAAAATATAATAAAGAGAAAACAATAGAAATCAATAATAATGAGAAGATCGCTAAATCTAAAAAACACAGTAAGAAATTGAAAATATAATGTAAATTCTTCTACCAAGATGATCCTGTATATGCTATATTTATTCATAATTGTGTATATTTTTCAGAAAAAAATATTCCTAAGGAGTCAAGAAAAGAAAAGAAAGAGAAGCCTGCGAAATCTGTGAAAGTGAATAAAATACAGAAAAATGTCAAATCAAATAAATCACTTAAACCAACGCAGAATAACGTGAAAAATACAAAATGTCAATGCAAAAGTAAGTAAAATATCTCGAATATTTATAATCATTTGATGAAGAAAGACATTCCAATTAATATACATCAATTAACAATCACTTTTTAGCAAATTGCGCGAAATCTTCTAATAATAAGCGTCTTTTGAATACAAAAGAGCAAAAGGAAAAGAAAAAGCAACATAAAAAGAGTATGAAAGCTGCGAAAGCTATCGAGGATCTTAGCCGACGTATAACAGTTGTCAAGAATAAAATGGAATGCATCAAAAATGATTTAAGTAAATATCCTAATATAATTTTCAATTATATTTTCAATTATATTTTAGTACGCAAAAGTCATATGCACTAATCCTCGATTGTTATTAAATACGCGCGCCATTAATTTTGAAGTTTTTTACATTTTTGCGAAATTCAGCGAACTTTGTCATGAGCAATAAATAGCATGAGATAATTAATCCTCATTAGCATATTTTATACGAAATTCTTTTCTTGCGTGTTGGACAGTTTGATAAATTTTACCAAGAATTCGCACGCGAAAGTCGTGCAACCCAAATCTGATATTTCCGGAACTTAAGTTGATATCTTGTTCTTTTTTCTTTCTTTCAGAGAGCAACGAATCATGGGATTCTGACAGTAGCTATTCCGGAGAATCATCATATTCTTCGCGATCGTATTCATCGTATTCATCCTATTCATCGTATTCGTCTGATAGTTACTCGTGCTCATGCTCAAGCACTTGTAGTTGTTCATGTTGCTACACAAGCGATTATACAGATGATTATACCGATGACTATACCGATGACTATACCGAATACACCATTAATTCATATAGATCTGTAATTTCTGATGGGAGTAGCAGAGTTAGCAAAAATAATAGCCAAACTGAGAGTACGAATGAAAAAGAAGATTTACGTTAAGACCAATTAAAAATGACACACAATGAAAATTAGACAAAACTATGTAAAACTAAATTATGCACAGAAAGCGTGCTCAAATTATATTTTTATTATTATAATCATAATTAATAAATTAAATTTTTATATTTATTTTAATAAATAAATTATATAATATAATTTTAATAAATAAATATAAAATTGAGGAAAATACAAATAACAAAAATGTTATGCAACACTTTTGTTGCTTGTCTTTGGCTTGTTAATAGGATATTTATTAATTATTATATTATTATTATATTATTATATTATAACGATTTATTATTATTATTATTATTATTATTATTATTATTATTATTATATTATTATTATATTATAACGAGCTGGATCTCTCTGTTATTATTTATTTCTTACTTATTTTTATTTTTTTACTAATTATTATTTGTTATGTTGTAATCTATCATAATTGCGTACGTTCTAGATTAACATTAACTTCATTTCAAATTGTTTGAGTTTACAAAATTTATTTCTCGAAAAACATTTAATGTTGCGAAGAAGTAATAAAATAATATTTAAAATAGTATTTAAATCTTTATCATGAATTGTGAGAAATTATAATGTACTTTAAATAAATTATATATAATGTAATTATTGTAATTGTATGTAAATTGTATGTTAGAATGTAAGGAATGTTGTAAAGTAATAAAAGTAAATAAAAAGAAAGTCCCGAAATATATTAGAATATTTAACAATTAACCAATAATCTTGAGCAGATATAAATATTTCGTTAAATATTGTACAAAACCATTTTAATAATCAAATTATATTGTTAAATAGTAATGGAATAAAATTCACCGAACGTTTTGCGCTTTTCATTCTTATCTTGTTACAAATTAAAACATAAAATATTTTTATATATCACATATTATACAAGTTATATATTGTTATTTTAATATACAATTTAATATATTTTTCATTTTATTAGTGCCTATTATTCTATGATGCTTCAATGTACCACTAATTTTATCAGTAGCCCTCAAATATCATTCTTCATTTTTAATTGCTGATAATTTGAAAACTTTCTATTTTTTGACATTTTTGCTTATGGCAAATTGCCTCCAAATGTCAGATTCGTCTTGCTACGTAATATGAATGCAAATTTGCGGCTATCTCTGTACGAACACGATTTAAATGACTCTCGATCGGGAGCAATGTACGCATATACAGCACACATTTCGATCAGCTGCATTAAAATAATACGTGTATCGCGATTCTTAAATTAGTCATCGTCATGCTACTATCGTCTTGCTCTACTATTTGCAACGTTTCGGCACTTGCTCCATGCGCTGCCGTGTTTTTTTCTTAACGTTCTAACTGAAAACAGAGAAGACTAAAAATAGGCGGTTTGACGCACGTTGCCGGTGTTAAGGTAAGTAAGCAACATGAACCGTATGTTTGCTCTTTTCCCTCGCGGACGATAATCTCTCGGCGTCGATAGTCCGTTTGTCGTTCTCGCAAACATGAAACAGCTACTGCGCAATTAAAGAAGCGTATCAAGTCCTGTGCAAATTTACTTAAACCACACAGGGTAGAAGAGAGATAGCACCTCTTAACAACGGATTATTAATTAGATATTTTGATTGCAGAGAATGAGAATCTTTTATTTTTCTATCATATTTTATTTTTTCTCAACGCAATGTTTAATCGTAATTTTTTATGTTGTGTTTGAAAAATTTATAAACTACTGTAATAATTCAATAGGGAACAATAAGAATCTATAGTTGTTAAAAATACGATTATAGGCTGGCCATTAAGTAAATAGAAAATATAAACGATCCGAAGAAACCAACAAGGAAAATCAAGTTGCGAGAAAAAGAAGATAATTGTTGCCAGAAAATTTGATTTTAGAATATAATAATTTCATAGAATCACATTTTCTTTTTAATGATGCGCTATGTGTTATATATGCGCTTTTGTTTATCGCAGATGCAATAGTTAGAACGTGTGGAAATAATAACGAAAACAAAAGCATTTGTTAAAACAAGCCAAAGCTAAACCATCTTTTCAAGTTGGCATAAACTGCGAACGTTGTTACGAAATCTCCCAAAATCAACATAATTATAAAGACAATAAGAAACTAACAATCCAATCGTCAGAATCCAATATCAGAAACCATGATCGTTTGTTATCAGAGCATTTAATATCAGAACATTTGGAAACACAAAATCGCTTACAATTAAGTGCTTTATTAAATATATTAAATATTTAATATATACATATATGTTAATATATTAAATGTATTAACTTATATTAGTTTTATTAATTAATACATTGATAATATTCGATTAAAATTGAGAGTAATCAATTTCAAATTTAACCGAAAGATATTAAGGCGCCAAAATATATGAGAGATGTCAAGGAACGAAGTAGAGCTCAGAATCTCAATGCGTATATCCATAATTTAGAAAATGAAGATCTCGCGGTTCTCCAATATAGATATTTCGTCAACGTTCGCGTTCCGCGAAACCGTCGACTCGATAATTATATAGCTACTCTCAATTCGGCCGCGGTGGCAACTCTCGCTCTTGTCTCTTCTCTTGCATGTCCCTTTTTACTCGTAAATTGCGTCATTATTGTACGTGT